AGTTACGTGGTTGGAATAGCTAATGTTATTTATTGCGTCGAATGAGTATTAGACGTGCAGTAAACCATGGTAATTAACTAGAATATCTAGTAAGGCTCGTATGCAATCTGGTCTCGCACCGACAGCCCCGTGTGGCCAGAGAGCGGGCGTGGGCGGGGCGGGAGATCGCATCGTGGGCGGAAGCGACGCCGGCGATCACCCCTGGATGGCAGGAGTCCTCATGTACGGCGGAGAGATGATCTGCGGCGCCTCTCTCATCACGCGGCAACACGTGCTCACGGCTGCTCATTGCGTCAAGTCGTAGGTTGCTCGGTGAAGCTCCTGTGGCAGAAATTAGGCATAGGCCTGTTCCCCTCCATTTTTTTTAAGTTCACTTCTCTGAATGTCTGCCAGGCGAACCGATAGTTTCGACTCCTTCATCCGAAACATGTGACTCTTGTTCGTACTAACGAGTCGAAACTGACGAGTCTTTACATATTGAACTACAGTGACTGATCTAAAAGAAAAAAAGACTAGATCAAGCTTCTAGCGTTTAATTTTTGAGAACATTGAAAAATTGCTGCGGCCATCTTGGTGAGACCGGTTTGCAGTGAGACCTCAATGTGGAAACGCATCGATAGAATTTCAGTGATACGGATAATAGTGATTATAATGATAATAATAATAATAATAATAGTAATAATGATAATAATAATAATAACAATAGAAATAATAATGATGATAATAATATCAATAATAATAATAATAATAATGATATCAATAATGATAAGAATGATAATATCAATAAGAATAAGAATAATGATAACAATATTAAGAATAATGATAACAAAAAATGTAATATATATGACAACAATATTGACGTTAATCAGAATAATTGTAAAAAAAGTTTCTATAAATAATGTTAATGAGAAGCATGAATAAAACCATTATTATCTTGAGAATAAAAGAAATATAAAAAATAAGTACCTATTCTGAGCACAGACAGCAATATTGGAGCCACGCCTCAGTATACCAGAGAATCACTGATTTATTCCTTTACAGTAACTAGAACATGAAAGACATACACACACACACACACACACACACACACACACACACACACACACACACACACACACACACACACGTACAAACAATAAGTTGCTCAATCCAGTCTTTTTTTTAAGATCAGTGACTACGGTAAGTGGTATTAGGAAGTGGAAGGACTCTTCAGTACAAGGTACATAAGTTTAACATAACGGGAGTAAGAGAGCCCCCAAAATATCTAGTATGGTTTTATCAGTTGGTATCATGACAAGTACCTTCATGGTTAGTACTATTTCATGATGTTTATTATGCAGTTCTCTCACTGGATTCTTCTTTAGAAACACTTGCTAAATCGAGCCTCTACTGTGAGATTAGTAAATTAGAATTCATAAAAGTGTGTATATAGAAATGATATGAATCTGTCAGTTCTGCATAGAAAGCAATTCTCTGAAATTATGGCTAAGACATTTAAAGGACATCTTTTATACCCTCCACCCCCCCTTCCCCCTACCTCAGCATATTGAGGGAAGAGAAAAAAAAAAAATAACCCTCATATTCCTTTCCCCAAAGCATCGTCTTGGGAGAGGACAGTATCGACGTGGTGTTGGGGAGTAAGCTCCTGCGGAACGGAACCGAAGCCACTCGCCAGAGGATCCCCGTCGCGGAGGTGATCGTCCATGAGAGACACCATCCGATGAGCCTCGCCCATGACATTGCCATTCTAAGGCTTAAGGATCCCGTTGACCTTAATCCGAAGGTGAGACCGAGAAGAAGGCAATTGCAAAGGAGACGGATAAGTAAAAGAGAAAGGGGGGTATGGGTTATATCCTCTGTAGGACTACTCTTCGTTTTAGGTTTGAGAGTTATATCATATATATATATATACATATATATATGTATATATATATATATATATATATATATATATATATATATATATATATATATACATATATATATATATATATATATATATATATATATATATATATATATATATATATATATATATATATATATATATATATATATATATATATATACATGTATATAATGTATATATATATATATATATATATATATATATATATATATATATATATATATATATATATATATATATATGTGTGTGTGTGCGTGTGTGTGTATGTGTGTTTGTGCTTTTGACAAATGAGTGAAAAAAAACTGTAATGAGTGTGTCGGAAAGACAAAAAGAACAGAGAGAATTGTACACAACAATCTAAGCTTATGAGCTATTTTTTTCCATCTTATACACCAAAGATAACGGTCAAAACTTTTGAATGCGCGATGAAATTAAATGAAAACTTTCATGTGTTTCCTGTCATGTGTACAGAGAACTAAATAATAATTTCCTTTCTCCTTCCTCCTATTATCCTCCTTCCTTTTATTCTATCCTCTCCTCACTTCTTCTTCTTCTTCTTCTCCTTCATCTTTTTCTTCTTTTTTCTTCTTCTTTTTCTCTTCCTCCTCCCTCCTGCTCTCTTCCTCCTTCTTCTCCATTAGGTTGCTCCTATTTGCCTGCACGTGGAAGACGAGGACCATAACGTCACAACAGCCATCGCCACCGGTTGGGGCAAACTTGAGGAAGGTTATATCTATATCTATCATTTGTTTGTCTTGGTTTATGTGTGCTGTCAACATGGTCTTGATAATTATCTTGTTTATCACTTACTTTTTTGTATTATTGTATACACTTCGCTCCTCCTCTCCACATCATCATGTAAATATTCAAAAGTCGCTATTTTCCTCAACGCCATCTTATTACACACCTTTTATCCTTGTGTATTTTTTTCGAACTTTCTTTTTCCCCGGTTTATCCATGCTTTTTCCTTGCCTTTCCTTTCCGTCACGCGACACGATCCCACAGACGGAGAGGAGTCCGAGACGCTACAGGAAGTGGAATTGCCTATCGTGCCGCAGGATGAATGCGAGCAGCAGTACGCACCCATAACCATCGCAGGATATTTTGTGTGTGCCGGCGAAGGAGGAAAGGACGCGTGTCAGGTAAATGAGGATGCGTGGATTTGCGTTTCTTTTTACAGGTGTGTGTGTGTGTGTGTGTGTGTGTGTGTGTGTGTGTGTGTGTGTGTGTGTGTGTGTGTGTGTGTGTGTGTGGTAAGGCCGAGACCAGGCCAGGGCCCTGGCTGGTGGTGTTCATGATATGGCAACAGGCGTTCTGAGGGTCAGGACTGAATCAAGGGTATTCTGGCACTTTTATTATCGAAATTACAGAGTGGAGGTACCGCTCAGGGGCAAGCGCCTTTTTAAAAATATCATTGACCCACAGAACGCCTTCAGTTGCCATACCATGAACACACCAACCAGCCCGTGGCCTAGCTAGCACTCAACCATCGATGCACTCTATATTACCTTCTGTGATTTATCTGTATGACGACTCTTTCTACAAATAATAAGTCAGCCCTACATACCAGTCAGCCCCTGTACTGAGGCTCTATATTTAATAAGAGCTACGTATAGCTGGTGGCAGCAGTGGGATTTTATTTGTAGAAAGAGTGTAATGCTGACAAACACAAGGGAAGGTAGACTGGGTAGATGCTTGGCCAGGCCATTTTATAAGCTATGGTTTCCCACATAATTATGCTTGTATCCCCACCACAGAGAGCAAGAGATGTGTAAGTATGCTTATTTATGCAAATTTAATGCACATTTCAGTATTCTTGCATTCTTGTACTTGCTTGAAGGCTTGTGCATGGAGCTACCTAAATCACTTTATTGACTAACATGGCACCCTTCTCCCTACAGTCTGACAGCGGAGGGCCCCTGGTCGCCGCCAGGCCCGACGGGTCGTGGTATCTCCTGGGCTTGACGTCATGGGGAAGGGGGTGTGGACGGCCTAAATATCCTGGGGTGTTCGTCCAGGTCGGGAGTAAGTGTCGTAGTTGATCTCATAGCATGTCAGTTCTTCTGCTCATTATAAAGGAGTATATGCATACATGCAGACATACATTTGGACTTTCAGTTTTAAGGTCCACATGTAACATTTATACACACATGTGTATATATATATAGTCAGATGTCTGGTATAATTCTCATCTTGAGTTGCTTTGTAAAAGGTTGGGCAAATATGATGGTTCTGTTTGCCTATGTGACCAGCAAGTTTTGAAATAGTCAACACATAGGTTGGGGCAACTTCAAAGGTTAGATATTATCACAAATTTATTGAAGAAACGCTCCTGTGACCGGCTTTATTAGGTTACTTCACCCACAGGTTACCTGAATTGGATCGCGAATAAAATCTCCGACGACGACTGCGGTTACTTGTCGCATCTCCCTACCCCACCACCGCTGACAACTTGGAAGCCGAACGAGAATTGCAGTGAGTTCTGCTAATAAAATGGGTTCTGTTAATTTCTTGTTGGCAAAGCTTTTGTAGAGTACTCTTAACATTTACTCGCAGTGTCTTTTAAAACCGAAGTTGACGTGTTCAAGCGTCTCTGAAATTATATATTTTCAAAATTACTATAGTTTGGAGAATAGGTTATACCCTATTGCGTCGCCAGTCATACAGCACAAAGACAGGGGCAGAAGAAAAAAATCTGAATATTAATTCTCAGAGATGCTTAAGGCTGTTATGCAACGATACTTTGTTAGGAAGCACTGTAAGTCCCCTCCACTCCCAAAAACAATTTCCACAGCAAAAAGGCCTATTTATGTTGTTGTTTTTTTTATCTCTCTTTGCGTTTTGGGAACAGTAGGAGTTTATCTTCCCTAATGACTTTTTTATTACATTTCATGATCACGTGTGGCAATTCAAAAGTTCCTCCTAAACAATTTTCCTTCTTTTTCTGTTCCCTCCCGCTTTTCCACCGGCTAACCCCTTCCCTCCCAACTCATGCCCACAGAATGCGGAGTACCAAACCGTAAGGATCGCATAGTGGGCGGAGTAGTCACACAGCCACACACGTTCCCATGGATGGTAGCTCTGACAGAAG